TTTTGCATTAATCATGGCTCAAAGGTTTTTTAGCATTTCAGTTCCTAAAGCATTTACAGAAATACAGATTAATGTTAAAGTTCAGTATAACCATATGGCAATGCATTCATTGATACTACGCTCACTAGAAGACTTGAATGCATTTAAATTAGGACATTGCAGTAACAAATTGCCTTATATAAAAGATATCTCACATACAAACATCTTTAATAAATGCTAATAGGTCTCTACACAGTGCTGTATTTACTTCATTTGCCACTATCTTTGACAGTCCATGGATGAATATGCTCTTGGCAAAATTATAATATTAAACTAGTATTTTCCCTAGAAACAATAATTCAAAGAAAAAGTCAAATACTTCACTGAAAAGGATCATTCATTGAACAGCATTGACAGAAAAATGGAAAATTTTGATTAAGCATTATCAGAAATATTTTTTGCATAAGATTGGTTAAGCATTGGAATAGGCTGTTTAAAGAGCCTGTGGATTCTTCATCTTTGGAGGAGTCTGAGATTCCTCTGGACAACCCAAGCCATGGGCAATGCTATCTAACTGGACCTGCTTTGGGCAGCAGGTAAGACCAGATGACCTCTGGAGGTCCCTAACATCTAAGTTATTCTATGATTCCCCAAATGGTGCCAAAGAAGGCACTTCATTTCAGTATAATAATGTTTACTGATTAATGCTACAAGACATCAAGTTTTAAGCAAATCCTCAATTGTTAAAGTAACAGTAAATGCAGCCATTTTCTACTCAAACTCCTTGCGTAACAGTGGTTGTATTTATTCTATTTTACTGTATTTTTATCTAATAAATGAAGACCAAAATGTCAGGGTGCATAAGAAAAAAAAATCTGTGTTGTTATCTAATACATTTATAACATGAATTGAGGCAATGGGACCAACTCCAGACAGCTATTACTTCTGTGTGCCCAGACTCATCAGACATGCTTCAAAGACAAGCTCACCACATGACAGAGACAAGTTCATCCTGTACAGAGCAGCTAAGGACTCTAGGTCTGTCTAGTTCGGAGAACAGGAGGCTGAGGTGTAACCTTGTTGTTCTCTACAGCTTCCTGAAGCGGGGAAATGGAGAATGAGGTGCTGACTTCCCTGGTACCTTGTGACAGGATGCGTGGGAATGGTTCAAAGCAGTGTCACAGAAGGTTCAGACTGGTAATTAGGAACCATTTCATACAGAGGGTGGTTAAACTGGAACAGACTTCCTACAGAGATGCTTGATGCCCATGCCCAAATCCTGTGTTTAAGAGGCATTTGGACAATGCACTTAGTAAACATGCACTTTAAATTTTGGTCAGCCCTGAACTGGTCAAACATTTGGACTAGATTATAACTGTACTTCCCTTCCGATCGGTCCCTTCAAACTATTCTAGTCTAGTCTAGTCTAGTCTAGTCTAGTCTATTCATCACAGAATAAGCTGAGTTGGAAGGGAACCATAAGGATCATTGAGTCCCATTCCCAGCCCTGTACAGGAAAGCTCCAAGAGTCACACCATATGCCTGAGCACATTGTCCACACTCTTCTTGAACTCTGTCAGGCTGGTGCTGGTGACCACTTTCCTGAGGAGCCTGTTCCAGTGCCCAACCACCCTGTGTGATAATATCCAACCTAAGTCACCCCTGACACAACTTCAGACTCTCAGGTCCTGTCACTGGTCACCAGAAAGAGAGAGATCAGTGTCTGCCCCTCGTCTTCCCCTCATGAAGAAGTTGTAGACTACAATGAGGTCTCTCCTCAGTTTCCTCTTCTCAGCTGAACAGACAAAGCGACCACAGCCCCTGCTCAGACAGCTTCACCTCAAGGCCCTTCACCATCTTTACTGCCCTCCTTTGGACACCCTCTGATAGTTTAATCTTTCTTATATTGTGGCACTCAAAACTGCTGACTCATATTCAGCTTTCTGTAGACCTGGACCGCCAGGTCCCTTTCCATGGCACTGTTTTCAGCATCTCATTCCCCAGTCTGTACTGAACATCCAGGGTTGGCCCATCCCAGGTGAAGAATCCAGCATTTTCGCTTGCTGAACTTCATATGGGTTGTGACTGCCCAGCCCCTGAGGCCTCCCTGCAGGGCCTCCCTGCCCTCAAGGGAGACAACAGTTCCTCCCAGTTTTGCAGTGTCTGTGAACTTGCTCAGTAACCTTCCAGTCCCATGTCCAAGCCACTAATGAAGAAGTTGAAGAGCACAGTGCTGAGGATGGAGCCCTGTGGAACCTCACTATTCACAGGTCACCTGTCTGATGTCACCGCATCCATTGTAACCCTTTGTGCCTTACTCATGAGCCAGATGCTCACTCATTACATGATCTGTTTGTGCAGTTGTGTGCTGGACATTTTGTCCAGAAGGATCCTGTGAAAGCCAGTATTGAAAGCTTTACTGAAATCCAAAAAGATTACATCCACTGGCTTCCCTTGATGAACTGGGTGGGTTACTTTGTCATAAATGGAAATCAGATTTGATGAGTAGGACTTTCTCCTCACAAAGCCATGCTGACATTGTCTTTCAGGTGTTTTTCAATACCTCCCAGAATAATCTACATAACTTTACCAGACACTTAAGTGAGCCTCTGGGATGCTCCTTTTTGACCTTGTTGAAAATCGGGACAACGTTCACCAGCTTCCAGTCAACTGGGACATCTTCAAATTCCCCAGAACACTCAGAAATCATCACGAGAGGTTTTGTGGTGACACCAGCAGCTCTTTGAGGATTCTCTGATATATCCCATCAGGCTCCATAGATTTGTAGGAATCCAGCTGGAGCAGCAGATTCTGAACATTTTCAGGGACAACTGGGAGATGATCATTCTTGCAGTAATGGTCATCCAGTTCAGAGGCTAAGATCCCCTTGGTGCATCATCCATGCTGAACACGGAGGCAAAGAATGTGTTAAACACCTCTGCCTTGTCCATGTCTCTGTGAGGTGACCATTCTCACCCTGTTAAGGGCTGATGTTATTCTTACACTTCCCATTGCCATTAATATACTTGAAAAAAATATTTTTATTGTTCCCCACAGTTCTGGCAGGTTTAACTCCAGCTGATCTTTGGCCCATGAATTTCTTCCCTACAGTGACAAGCAGTATCTTCCCATCTTCCCATGTCACCTGACTTTGCTTCCACTGGTCATACATCTTTCTTTTTTGCCTTATTTCCAAGAGAAGACTTTTTTAAGCCAAGCTGACCTTCTGCCTTGTCTGCTTGACTTCTGACATTTGAGAATTGCCTGGTCCTGTGTCATCAGGAGATGACATTTAAAAAGTGACCAGAACAGATGGACCCTGGCATCTGCAAAAACCTTTTCACACGTAACTCCACTTACTAATTCCCTGAACAGCCTGAAGTCTGATCTTCTCATGTCCAGAGCTGAGGTTTTGCTGTCATTTTTCCTCCTGTCAACAGAGATTTTAAACTCTTGCCAAGACAGCTGCTGATCTCCACTGATGAGATCAACTCTATTGACAAGCAGTAGATCAAAGAGAGCTTCTTTCTGAGTCACCTCCCTTAGGACCTGTTCCATAAAGTTGTCATCCAGGATTTTTAAGAATCTTCTGGCCCAGGTTGTACCAGCTATGTGATGCTCCCAGGTAATTTCTGGCAAGTTGAAGTCCCCCATAAGGCAATGGCAATCCTTAATATTCTTTTCTCACAAATGCACAAATTTAAACAGACCAGTAAAAACAACAGGCTATGCAGCACCTTTCATAGCCCCTAGGTGTTGACTGTGAGTGAAGTTGGTATTTGCATACTCAAAAGCTCAGAAATCAAGCCTTGTACAAAAGCACACTGTTGGCCACCTCTCCCTCTCTCTCTCTGCATTAATATCTACATTTCCTTTTCTCTGCAAAGGCTGTACTGGTTGTAATAGTAACTTTTTATTCCCACACTGTTCAAATGTTCACAATGATCACTAATTCCCCATGCATAATCCTGTGTCCACATCTTCGCTTTCTTCATGGACATCTCTGAATAAAAGAGCTCAGGTAGCAGCCAGAAACAGTACTTCACAAAGGATTACTCTGGCTTTACACAACCCATTAATATTTTCCCAGAATCATCTTATTTCAGTAACTTCTAAATATTAATATCAATGACAATTAAACTTTTACTATTAATATTCATTAAATATGAGGACACAATAGGTCAGTTTCTCTGAGTTTGTTTGCTATCTGCAAACTCAAAAAAATTAAGATCTTATGTACAACATCAGATGTCTTTGGAGTCACCAGACCTTTAAGGAGTTAAAAGCAAGGATAACATAACACACATTATCTATTGTGTGCAGTAGTGCCATAATTGCATTGTCAGTAAGGTCTGCAAATGGATTTTATACATGAAAGCTGAATTTCTATCTTTTTGTAGTAGACTAGAAAGAATCAATGAAATAACAGTACCAAATAATGATTGCTAAAATACTCTGCAGTTTTGCAGCCTCCAATCCACTTATACAAATTAACCCACAACAACAGCAGAGGTATGATAAGAGAAGCATTTTGTTTACAAACATGGACTATCTCAAGGTAAAAAAATTCAAAGCAAGATCACTTTCTCTACTAGCTCACAGTAAGACTCATGTTCTTATTTACGCAAAGTACCAGACAACAACATATCCAGCCATATGAAATGAAAATTAAAATTCTAATTCTAATATATGGACCAACAAACATTTACAAAATATTGTTGCTAAACTGTATGTACCTTATTTTTCATTTCATTCTTTATACTAATAAAATGAAACTATCTATTTGTTTTTTTAATAGGAAGCCTTTTTTATGATGCTTGCATTATATTTTGGGGGCATTAAATATGCAGCAAAGCTACATCTTTATCCATCTGTCTTTTCAGTTTATACACCATGGTGTTGCCTGCAGTTAAAAACAATCATAGCAAGAAGATTTTGCAAGTTAAAAAACGAATACCGAATGCCATTAGCATACATTCAGATCACTGGAAGCACATAGAGAATACTGTTTAAATGCTTACCTTAACTATCCCACGGATATGCATTTTTGCTATCATCTCTGCAGTGTAAAGAAACATCAACAGAGTATCAAGAGCAAATGTCACATACTGGAGAGGCGGATAATGCTCGAAGGTTTTTGGAGTGTTCATACACACAGAAATAACACTGATGATGGCACAAATTCGTAGTAAAGAGTGCACCCACTGAAAAAAAAAAAAAAAAACAAAACAAAACCCAAACACAAGATTTTGCAAGATTGCTTTGATGTTCAAAAAAACTTTGAATACTTAGCTTCCATAACTTATCCTGGCACTCTTTCGTAAACGTACGTCTGTGTCTTTTTACGTCACATATACATTTACATATAAAAGGTCTTAAACCAAAAAAAGCACTCCTAAATTACTTATACATATATAGACACATATATATTTTTATTAGTTAATTTGTGAGGTTGTGTAATTCAGAAAACATGAATTAGGAGCCATGAAACTGAGAACTAAGGATTCCATCATTTCTACTTTGTGGTACTTGTAATTTAATTTCTGTTCAAATGACAGCTCATCACATTTACGGGCAGACAATAAGTAGAATTAGTTATAGTTATAAATTGGGTGGATAGATTAAAAAAGATATTTGTGGAAAATTTTAGTTCAACACTCAGGAAGAAATTTTATTTAAATCAGTTCACAACTCAAAAAATTAAGTGAGAGTCACAGGATTAAAAGCATCCTTCCAGTTATGAAAAGAATAAATATAAAAAGAATAAAAATATAAAAGAGTATGTCACAGACAGCTACTTCTTTCAGGAATCACTTTTGTTCCAATCAAGTTTTGTTGCTATAGGAGAACAGTTCATTTCCATTACTAATTAGGACTCATTCCCACTCCTCATTGCCAGTCAGAGAGGGAGGTGTAACAAAAAAGCAGAACACAGGAGTACAGAGGTTTAGGCTTGGATTTTTATTTTTTTTTAATCAAAACATTATTAAAACATCTTGAAGTCAAGCAAGTATAATGAATCATAGTTGGTAAGGCCCTATCTATTGTAACAAAAAGGAAAAGATACTTCTGCAAGAAAAAAATCTTTAAACAGAAACCACTGAAGTATATTTATCATAATGTTTCATCTGAGGAAAAATTCTACACTCCTTTACAGCGTACCTCAGACCTTTCAATATCCAAAAGACTCAAGAACAGCCACTTTATACTCACTGTTCACTCACTTAAATGTAATGATATCTGAACTGAATTGAACAGCTCTATTATTTGCATACTTTGAGCCCTGATTAATAAATTGTAAGCAGAAGGCACCTGATGAATGATCCCAACATCCCTTTAACATTCCCTTTGTTTTGAACCTTGTTTCAACTGAAACAATTAACATAAGCATTAAAGTGTGGCTGATACAAAACTTGTTCTCTGCCACAGTAAAGTGTCAGTACTACAAACACTAAGCAATATAAAACTAGTCCATCAGAATGACAAGAAAAAATGATTCCATGAAAACCTCATGCATTGTGTGATGAGAAATGTAAGTAAATACCCATCATATTTATGCAATGACATTTTGAGTTTATTACAGCAGCCAATATAAACATTCTACTTAAATAACTGACAAGACAACATCCATATATTAATTCATGCTAAATAGTTTCAGGTGTTAAAACTCAGCAGCAAAGCTGGGGTGATCTGGCATCTTTACTACAAATGAGATGATGGTTTCCTTTAATGAATGCAGTGCTAACAACAGGTATTATTTCAGAATATTTTATTTCCTGCTTTTAAAAAGTAAAAAATTATACACTGTGATAGACTGGCACTAAGAGAAATTTGAAAATGCCTTCTCTGCAAAACCAGAAATCATTATTGGAATTCTGGATCCATGCTCAATGCTGAATAAATAGTTCAATCATAATAACTATATTTATGTAGTAAAGACATTTTCTTAATACTGTAGAGTCTATTAATAATTCCACTCCCAATGACATTTTCCCCAGTTTAAAGTTGCCAGACACTTTTACATCTCTCTTTTTCTCAAGGCAGATTTTAGGTTAAATGGTACTAGAAAAATGAGCTGTACTTCAAAAAAACCAACCAAAATAACAACACTTTTATATTCATAAATGTTTTAAAGGAGAGATGTGAAAGTCAAAAGTGCTTATTGCTGGCTGCCACTTGAGCAACAAAATCCTCCCTTAAACATACTTTTCAAAAGCTCATTTTATGAACTTGTAATTTCCATGAACATGTTAGGAACCAGAGATCATGAAAGGATGGCTGCTTTAGAAGAATCAATCCAATGAGAAGGTTGGGAAATACTGCTTGATCATCCCATAATTTTGCAACAGCCAAAAGAAACAATTTTATTTAGTCTTTGATGTTTTTTAAAAAATTAACTGGTACACTAGCAACTATATTTCAAAACTTGTTTCTGACTAATATCTAATTCAGAATTTTTTGTGGAAGTCATATTTCAACAATTGAAGTTACATTTAACTTAAAGTTAGTAATTACATAAAGAGATACCTACAGGTTTGTTAATCCACAGAATATCTGCATTGTCTGACAAAGATTCATCGGGACCAAAATCTGTAACTGGCTGGGCTTCCACCCTGGAACTCTGTTTCCTTTTTAGCATCCTGAAGTTAACTTCTCTTATCTATAAATCATGAAACCTCCTTGGTGAGAAAAAAACAGAAAACATTAATTCACTTAAGCAATTTTATAATGCATTTTTAATAGTTTTATAAATAACCCAAAGCATTTTGTTTTCATGCACACTTCTCTTGTACTTACTGATTAATAGGATATTGATTTTATTAAATGTAAATCACTGACATGACTCTTGTTAGTTTACAAAAAAATTACACAAAGGTATGCAACACAAACAATTACCAGAAACTTAGCAATGCTGACAGAAAATTTGTTCTAATATGCGAGGAATGCTATTGCTATGAACTTCAACACAGAGTAATCATTGGATGGATTTGACCTGGAGCCATTTAATTAAATGGTGACATTTCCATTTATTACACTAGGCTAAGATAAATCCCAACATGCCAAAGGCAAACAGGCAATGTTAAGCAGCCAATAGATGTTAATGTTATTTACTGAAATCAGAAAAGCCTTTTTGCTATATGCTACTATTAACATGTATTTTTCTAATACTTTTTTTGATGTTAACAATTATTTACCCAACAGCCAGATAGCTGGCTATCTGTGGGGCATGTGTTGGCACATAGAAGGACTGAGAAAAATGTGTTGTTTCCACAAGGTCAGGCTGAGTCTGGACATTCCTGCACGGGTGGCACTGACTGAGCCTTCTGTATGCTCAGCCATGTGAGCCACTACTAGGGGACATGCCACGAGAGCAATAAGGTGAGTTAGATATTAGTATTGACTTTCCCACAGACACATTTCATGGGTCCCAGAGTCCAAACAAATACCAACAGGTGAGGAAGATACACTCTCATGAGAAGTAACTGCCCATGAAATACAATTCTATTCATGAAATACAACCCCTTAGAGAATTTTTTTTTTTTTTCCCAGCAAAGTGCGGGGGAAGAAAGCAAGATCTTGGGACCTTGTTCTGGACCTTTACTCTGGACCAAGTGTTTGCAGGTGATACTTCCCTGTGACAACTAAAAGTTTGTCAGAAGTAGTATAAGATAGAATCATAGAATGGTTTGAGTTCAAAGAAACCTTTAAAGATAACCTAACTCAGTTCTCCTGACATGGGCAGGAACATCTTTCACTAGATCAGATTGCTGAAAGACCTGTCCACTTTTCAATGATAGGGCTACCACAACTCTGAACAGCCTGTTCGTATGTCTCACAACTTTCATTGTGAAGAACTTCTTCCTTATGTCCAACCTAAATCTTCCCTTTTCCAGTGTAACTCTGTTGCTCCCTTGCTCTGTCACTACAGGCCCTGGTAATTACAGCCTCAAGTATCACAATGACAACTGTAATATGAATCCAAGAAACACTATCCTTGATTAGCTGGAGGCAACAGTGGGTTCAGGACTGCAGAAGTGCCCATGTGCTTGGTCTCAGCTGGCCTTTTCAACCCCATGGGCTGCTGCTTCATGTCCAAACACTATGCTTGCATCCTTGTCTGTCTCTCCTTTTTAGCTGTTATGTCGAATGTAAACCCTTAATCTTACTCCAAGCCCCTCAAAGCCTACCCCTGCTCTGTTTTCTCTTTCAGATTCAAGAGGTCGGTTCCTGTCTCTGTAAAACCAAATCGGAGCCATTGGTCTTTGTACAAACCACACAATAACAGTGCTGAGGTCTTGTACTAATGTTCCCAGCTGAAGGAGGTGACATTATGTGATAACTGATTTTTAAAACAAACAGAAATAATATAAGGGCACAAAATAACAGATAAATTCTGACACTTATATTCATTTTAAATGGTCATTCGCAGAAACCTTAGCACAAGCAAAACTGGTAAGCTGTCACTAAAAACATGCAAATACTGTAAAATGAGTATTATATATTAATAACCCTTCTCTAACAAATGAAGAAGGAAATAATATTCACAGAGGTTGCATGCTCAAGCTTCATGCTCCCACTTCTGTTTTGTAACTGAATTCACTACTTCTCCTCTATAGAATTATTTTTTCCATTTTCTCCTATTTTTTTCCCAGTATAATGGATTGACCTTTTTTCTCTACTTAGACCAAAGCACAACCAGAAACGCTTCAAGTCTCAGAGTTGCTGTTGTGCTTTTGGAGGTCATGAAACCTTAAAAGGGCTACATTTAGCATAGTGATAAGAAGTTACTGCAATGCCTCAGGAGCTGCATTTCCCAAAACCTTAGGGAAAAAAAAAACACTGCCTAAAATGTTTCTGACAAGTATGTTCTTTTGGAAATTGTTACTCAAAAGCTAATCAGTGAAATAACAAAATAATTATTTTATGTTTACTATTTCTGGTAATGGCTATTACTGTGCTCCAGTAAGCTTTTAAGAAAAAATGTAGCAATAAACAGAGAATTAATAAGGTAAGTGCAATGAATAATTATGAGAAAAGGTTCAGGATATGAAAAACTGATTTTTGTTTAGCCACTTACTGATATGTTTTTTTAAAATAAATGATGGTCTAAATAACAAGCCATATCCATTTGGATAAGAAAGCAAATAATTATCAACAGTCTATTAAAAAGAGAATGTTGTTTTTATGCTTTTCTCGGTATTGCTTATTTATACATTTGACGTGCAGGAAGATTAGCCATACCCTTCTAATAAAATTACCACTTATCCTTTTACCCAGTGCTTCTGTTTGTTCAAGTAATTTTTAATTGGTCCAGGCATGGAAAATAACATGAACTTTAGATGTTCATAACAAATGTCCATCATGGATTCAGTTCACATACTTAAATCACAGAAATCACAGAATATTCTGAGTTGGAAGGGACCCAGAAGGATCATCAAGTCCAGCTCTTTAGTGAATGGCACATATGGATATCAAACCCACAGCCTTGGCATTGCTAGCACCATGCTCTGACCAACTGAGCTAATCAGTGTTGTGACTAAAGAGACTAGAATTCTTAAGAGGCAGCCTTAAATCAAGAAATCTCCATGTATATAAAACCAAATGAAAGGGAAGAAATGTTATGGAATATAAGAATCATCTTGTTTACTTCTCTACTTGAAATGACCAGAAATGCACACAAAAACCTCAGAATGACGATGACAAATCAATAATATTTTGTAAATGGCCTTTAGTAAGATTATTCAAAATATATAGCATAGTTGCTTTCAAGCCTTTATGCAATTTTTTTTGCTGTTCTCACTACTTTCAGCTTACATGGGAACACACGCTTTTCCATGTGCTGCAGTTTCCAGACTCTGCCATGTATGTAAAGAATTTTAACCCTTGAACTACTAATCCCTTTTGCACTTGTTTCTTCAGGGAGGAACCAGCTGAAGGATGAAGAGAAGGGGAGCTGTGCACGAACTCCTTCCAGCATGTGACACACAGCGAGCAGTGCACCAAGCTGTGCTAATGGGGAGGATGTAGTCCTCCCTAACCCTGATACAAATCCACCCCTGCAGTTCCTGCGTTGGTTCCAACATACGTCATTAGGTCTTTCTTTGATCACAACCTGTTATTAATGTGAAAGGCTTAATAAATTCCCTAGGATGTATTTCTAGCTGCAGTGTTTTTAAGACATACTGGGTGCAGGGCAAAGACAGGCTTTAAGACAGGAAAATATCATGGAATTTTGGGTCTACAACCACTTCACATTTCTTTGGAGTACTTTCTTTATAGTAGCAATGAAAATTCACATTGCAGGTGTCAACCTTTTCAGGGAGCAATGTAGTGTCTTTTAAATTCCTACTCTAATTTTAGAAACAAAGTCAAATTAAAAAGAATAAAACAAAAATGAAAATTACACTCTGAGCCCCTTCAGATCCATTAGGGCAGCCTTGTTCTCTTCCTTTCTATCTCTGAACTTGCAGGCATGTTCTGCAACCTCTACACTTTCTAAACCACCCCCACCCACTAAATTTGCAGCTTCTGCTGGAAGGAAAGTATGCCAGGACAATGGCTGGGGTAAACATAAGACCCACTGTGCACTTTGGAAAAAAAAGAAGGTATAACCCAGTTTTCAAAAAAGAGTCAGGAGAAGGTATAACCCAGCTTGCAATATTCCCACTAAGTGTAAAACACTCCTTCTGATGGAAATATGCAGTTCCTAAAAAAATCAAAAGACAAATTTTAAGAAGTATCTGATCCTCCACAACATCAAAAGCTGAGAAATCTGAGTCTCGTTTATAAAGTGAGCTCACTGTACATAGCATTATCTGCCCAAAAGATCTCTCTATCACAAAGTCAGGAAAACATGCTTATAAAGGCTCCGGCTGACAAAGCAGGCAGGTGAAAAATGACTTCACAGAAATATAAACAGGAAAATAAAGCAGATATTCCTACCTATGACTTATGGAGAGAGAATTCAAAAATCAGACAAATCCTTGGAATCAGCAATGCCTGGCTTCCCAAGTACTTTTTTCTCACTGCCTATTGACTTTGTCACCTGACATCATGTGAGCTCTGCCTGAAGGTCCTCCCAAGGCAGGCCACCTACAAGCACTCTCTTCAATTCTCTCTTCTTTGAAAATGTCAACCCCACTTCCAGCTTCTCCCAGAGCAGGGATACAGAAAGTGGCATACACACTTCAAGACAATAATTGTCTCTCTAATCTGTCTAATTGTGCTGTCACAAAAATGTGAGAGCTAAAATGTGTGGCATGAAGATAATGTGAACACCCATAAACATAGCATGGTGACAAAATCCCATTTCCATACTAAACATTAAAAAAGCCCCTAAGTACAGGCTATCTTAAATTGATTGGTCTTAACTTCAGCATGCATTAGATGGTTACAGAAAAAATAGAACTTCCTATTCTTTCATCGATAGTCTTCTCCTTTCCTTCTTTGCAAACTGACACTGCTCCCTGTATCCACACGTTCTTCGATCCCTGATTTTGGGTACAGGTACAGTTAAATGGCATTTCAGTATTTGTTTTCATGTAGCAAAAATTTAAAGTGAGCAAGTTGCATACACAACAGTATAGATATATTTATTTTAGAAGGGTAAAGACAATTCCAGTGGATACAATCACATGG